TATATATATATATATATATATATATATAAAGAGAGTATATTTAGATCTACAAATATTATTGAGTATAATTTGTGAGCAATGTATTCTGGAAAGGAAAAAAAAAAGGGCTAAATATGATTCCTTTCCTTAAGAAATATAAAATGAGTTTATGGAAATTTTAGAGAAAAAATTTCATTATACTTTTTTTTTTTACTTCATACTGCAGATCACGTATTCAATTCACTCAAATTCAGAGTCAGTGGGTGGAGAAGTGCCATAAAGATTTGATAAATAGTCTACATTAATAGCTGTCTAATACCAAACAAAACTCACTGCTCTAGAGTTGTATCGGACTCATAGAGACCCCTGCTTGGGTTTCTGAGGCGGTATTACTACAGAAGTAGATTGCTCAACCTGCCTTCTGAGGACTGGCTGGTGGGTTTGAACTGCCACCCTTCTGGTTAGCAGCCAGGTGCCTTAGGCATTATGCTAGCAGAGCTCCTATCTGTATACTAAAAAGATAAAAATATGATATTTATTATGATATTAACTGAAATATTAGCATACTTCAGTGTAAATAGATGCCACTAAAGAGGATGAAATATCTTGATCTTTTAAGTAGAAACTATGTCTATGACATTAATTTGCAAACAGAAAGTATTTTTGTCACAGTTAGGAAAAAGGCATAGTGCCTAATATCTATTGAACATGTGCTATAGGCCACTCATTGTTATAAACTTTTCTCGTTTTATAACTCTTAATTCTTACAATAATCCAGAAGTGGCATATATACTTGTTTCCCCAATTTACAGATGCAAAAAACTGAGACAGAGAAATTAATGAATTTGCCCAAGGTCACGTCGTTAGGAATTGTAGGAGGTAGAATTTAAAAACTTGATATTAGTTTGATTCCAGAGTTTCATTGTCGTAATTATTAGGAATTGTAAAAGTGGTGGAGGTGAGGCTTAAAAACTTCAGTTTAAGAGTATACTTGTCATTCTGGAGTGCAGAGATAAGAGTTAAGTATTTGTTGTTGTTGTTATGTGCCGTCGAGTCGGACCCGACTCATAGCGACACCTCCTTGGGTTTCCGAGGCAGTATCACTATGGAAGTAGATTGCCCCATCTTCCTTCCGAGGAGTGGCTGGTGGATTTGAACCGCCA